GTGTATGTCCAGTGTATGCAGATTTAAGAGCAAAATATCTAAATAACTATTTCTACCGCAACCCAAACGGTAACAAATTTTGTAAATTAATGACTTGTGATTGTACAGAAACTATTAGAAATCTATCAATGTTCATTTATCATGCCATGAAACTAAGAAAATGTATGAATTTGTAACACGCCCCACACATTGTACTATAGGCCTTTGGCCTCATAAGTACCATGAATAAAGATTGATTGATTGACTGTAATACTACAATCAACTCTCTGTATACAGCTGTAGGTATTACCATCCCACTAGTAACTATAGACTGTAATACTTCAATCAACTCTCTGTATACAGCTGTAGGTATTACCATCCCACTAGTAACTATAGACTGTAATACTACAATCAACTCACTGTATACAGCTGTAGGTATTACCATCCCACTAGTAACTATAGACTGTAATACTACAATCAACTCTCTGTATACAGCTGTAGGTATTACCATCCCACTAGTAACTATAGACTGTAATACTACAATCAACTCTCTGTATACAGCTGTAGGTATTACCATCCCACTAGTAACTATAGACTGTAATACTACAATCAACTCACTGTATACAGCTGTAGGTATTACCATCCCACTGGTAACTATAGACTGTAATACTACAATCAACTCACTGTATACAGCTGTAGGTATTACCATCCCACTGGTAACTATAGACTGTAATACTACAATCAACTCTCTGTATACAGCTGTAGGTATTACCATCCCACTGGTAACTATAGACTGTAATACTACAATCAACTCTCTGTATACAGCTGTAGGTATTACCATCCAACTAGTAACTATAGACTGTAATACTACAATCAACTCACTGTATTCAGCTGTAGGTATTACCATCCCACTAGTAGCTATAGACTGTAATACTACAATCAACTCTCTGTATACAGCTGTAGGTATTACCATCCCACTGGTAACTATAGACTGTAATACTACAATCAACTCTCTGTATACAGCTGTAGGTATTACCATCCCACTAGTAACTATAGACTGTAATACTACAATCAACTCACTGTATACAGCTGTAGGTATTACCATCCCACTAGTTACTATAGACTGTAATACTACAATCAACTCACTGTATACAGCTGTAGGTATTACCATCCCACTAGTAACTATAGACTGTAATACTACAATCAACTCACTGTATACAGCTGTAGGTATAACCATCCCACTAGTAGCTATAGACTGTAATACTACAATCAACTCACTGTATACAGCTGTAGGTATTACCATCCCACTAGTAACTATAGAATGTAATACTACAATCAACTCTCTGTATACAGCTGTAGGTATTACCATCCCACTAGTAACTATAGACTGTAATACTACAATCAACTCACTGTATACAGCTGTAGGTATTACCATCCCACTAGTAACTATAGACTGTAATACTACAATCAACTCACTGTATACAGCTGTAGATATTACCATCCCACTAGTAACTATAGACTGTAATACTACAATCAACTCACTGTATACAGCTGTAGGTATTACCATCCCACTAGTAACTATAGACTGTAATACTACAGTCAACTCTCTGTATACAGCTGTAGGTATTACCATCCCACTAGTAGCTATAGACTGTAATGCTACAATCAACTCACTGTATACAGCTGTAGGTATTACCATCCCACTAGTAACTATAGACTGTAATACTACAATCAACTCACTGTATACAGCTGTAGGTATTACCATCCCACTAGTAACTATAGACTGTAATACTACAATCAACTCTCTGTATACAGCTGTAGGTATTACCATCCCACTAGTAGCTATAGACTGTAATGCTACAATCAACTCACTGTATACAGCTGTAGGTATTACCATCCCACTAGTAACTATAGAATGTAATACTACAATCAACTCACTGTATACAGCTGTAGGTATTACCATCGCACTAGTAACTACAGACTGTAATACTACAATCAACTCTCTGTATACAGTTGTAGGTATTACCATCCCACTAGTAACTATAGACTGTAATACTACAATCAACTCACTGTATACAGCTGTAGGTATTACCATCCCACTAGTAACTATAGACTGTATACTACAATCAACTCACTGTATACAGCTGTATGTATTACCATCCCACTAGTAACTATAGACTGTAATACTACAATCAACTCTCTGTATACAGCTGTAGGTATTACCATCCCACTAGTAACTATAGACTGTAATACTACAATCAACTCACTGTATACAGCTGTAGGTATTACCATCCCACTAGTAACTATAGACTGTAATACTACAATCAACTCTCTGTATACAGCTGTAGGTATTACCATCCCACTAGTAACTATAGACTGTAATGCTACAATCAACTCACTGTATACAGCTGTAGGTATTACCATCCCACTAGTAACTATAGACTGTAATACTACAATCAACTCTCTGTATACAGCTGTAGGTATTACCATCCCACTAGTAACTATAGACTGTAATACTACAATCAACTCTCTGAATACAGCTGTAGGTATTACCATCCCACTAGTAACTATAGACTGTAATACTACAATCAACTCTCTGTATACAGCTGTAGGTATTACCATCCCACTAGTAACTATAGACTGTAATGCTACAATCAACTCTCTGTATACAGCTGTAGGTATTACCATCCCACTAGTAACTATTGACTGTAATACTACAATCAACTCTCTGTATACAGCTGTAGGTATTACCATCCCACTAGTAACTATAGACTGTAATACTACAATCAACTCTCTGTATACAGCTGTAGGTATTACATTCCCACTAGTAGCTATAGACTGTAATACTACAATCAACTCACTGTATACAGCTGTAGGTATTACCATCCCACTAGTAGCTATAGACTGTAATACTACAATCGACTCACTGTATTCAGCTGTAGGTATTACCATCCCACTAGTAACTATAGACTGTAATACTACAATCAACTCTCTGTATACAGCTGTAGGTATTACCATCCCACTAGTAACTATAGACTGTAATACTACAATCAACTCTCTGTATACAGCTGTAGGTATTACCATCCCACTAGTAGCTATAGACTGTAATGCTACAATCAACTCTCTGTATACAGCTGTAGGTATTACCATCCCACTAGTAACTATAGACTGTAATACTACAATCAACTCTCTGTATACAGCTGTAGGTATTACCATCCCACTAGTAACTATAGACTGTAATACTACAATCAACTCTCTGTATACAGCTGTAGGTATTACCATCCCACTAGTAGCTATAGACTGTAATACTACAATCAACTCTCTGTATACAGCTGTAGGTATTACCATCCCACTAGTAACTATAGACTGTAATACTACAATCAACTCTCTGTATACAGCTGTAGGTATTACCATCCCACTAGTAACTATAGACTGTAATACTACAATCAACTCACTGTATACAGCTGTAGGTATTACCATCCCACTAGTAACTATAGACTGTAATACTACAATCAACTCACTGTATACAGCTGTAGGTATTACCATCCCACTAGTAACTATAGACTGTAATACTACAATCAACTCTCTGTATACAGCTGTAGGTATTACCATCCCACTAGTAGCTATAGACTGTAATACTACAATCAACTCAATGTATACAGCTGTAGGTATTACCATCCCACTAGTAACTATAGACTGTAATACTACAATCAACTCTCTGTATACAGCTGTAGGTATTACCATCCCACTAGTAACTATAGACTGTAATACTACAATCAACTCTCTGTATACAGCTGTAGGTATTACCATCCCACTAGTAACTATAGACTGTAATACTACAATCAACTCTCTGTATACAGCTGTAGGTATTACCATCCCACTAGTAACTATAGACTGTAATACTACAATCAACTCTCTGTATACAGCTGTAGGTATTACCATCCCACTAGTAGCTATAGACTGTAATACTACAATCAACTCTCTGTATACAGCTGTAGGTATTACCATCCCACTAGTAGCTATAGACTGTAATACTACAATCGACTCATGTACACATCTATCATCCAAAGTAACATGCCCATCGTAGTTCCCTTTAGCTGCTTTCAATGCACTGTTCTTGACTATTTCCAAGTGCTTAAAATATAAAGGTGCAAGTTTTACACAATGGGAGCTAGCATTTAGTTGCTAGATAACAGCTGCCAAATCTCTGATTGAGAGAGTTGTGGTCCTTAGTAACTCAGAACAAATGTTTTTGATTTTTTCAATCTTCTCTTGAGTAAGATTAACGGTCATGTTAGAACTGTTAATAACAAAACCTAAGTAAGTAATAGATATGATGGTTGTAAAACAGACTTTTGTGGGTGTATGGTAAACCCCAAGTTGTCTAAAACACTGACAGTCCAGTTCACATTGTCTCTACACATATCTTCCGTTTCCCCTACAAGCAGTGAATCATCTATATATGCAGTGTTTGCGAAACCCTGTTTTCTCAAACAGGAAAAAATTAGTTTCATGATTTTTGTGAATAGTCTAGGGGCAGAGGCTAAACCATTGGGCAAACATTGAACTGATGCAGTTGGTTTTCCCATTAAAATCTTAGATATTTTCTATCTTGGGCAGATATAGACACTGAATAATAGGCATCTTTTAGGTCTACAGATGCAAAATAACAATCTTTTTGGACCAAGTATAGGGCTGATTTGAAAGTGTCCATTTTGAAGTAAGATGAGTCAACCTCATTATTCAAATGTCTGAGATTTAAAATAATTATCAACGAAGTGTCCTTTTTCACCCTGCAGAAAATATTTGAAATATATTCCCCAGGTTCATGGGCACATGTTTCAATAATACCTTTTCCCAACATTTTTCTTAACTCTGTGTCAATTTGAGTACGCTCTGCACTATCAAAAGTTATAGGCGTGGTAACACATTGTTGTATGGGTACGTTTCTGAATTCAATGCTAGCACCCTCAACACAGGACAGTGTCCAGGGGTCAGATGTTATGTTCATCCAATTCTCTAAATGCAAATTAATCTTGCCTGCAGTGAAATTGTCAGGAATGTTGTAAAGTGAACCAGTTTCATAAAGATTCCTCACCTGTTCATGGCTACCGCCATCATTGTTTTTCAGTATTTCCTGTGATGTGGTTTGGGCCCTGATGGGCGTCGCCCTAAAAAAGGCCCCTGGTTTCGGTGATTTCCTGTTCGTCCACGATCTGACACCGACTGAAAACCTTTGTTCTTCACAAAACCACCTTTTCTGAGTCGTTGAGGGTCATAAGGCCTGAACCTGTTTCCTGGGTTTCTATGTCTATATCCAGGTGTGTATGACCCCCTATGCATGGCTGACTTGCCTGGTGTGTGGAGCTTGTTGCTGAGCTCTTTGCACTCTGTTATGTCCTTGATACTTTTGGGGAGGTCATCCCCAAACAGGTAGCTGTCGTTGGGGTATCAGCCGAAAACAGACGCTTGTAAGGTCGCCGAAGATCTGGTTTAAAGTTATCTCTTCTTTTGACATTTAGATCTGTGTCTACTCCAATGAGTTTTCTCAGTGAATTGTTGGTCTTATCTATCATCTTGATTGCATTAACCTGTTGTCTGTTGGCAACAGCAGTCATCAGTTCATCTTTCATCTCAGTGATGGGAACAATAGCTTTAGTTATCATTCCTTGCGTGTGCTGCATCCGAATATCACGTGCTCTGGTCAGGGGTCCGGCCTCATTCCAAATAACTTCATTGACACGTGGTACCAAAAGGTTCCCAACATTCTTAGGTCGCTTGTACTTGTCCAACAGGGATTTTAACTTGACTATGTTAGGAGGTTAAGACAGTCCCTCATTGACAGATCTGGCCAGGTTTCCCGTGATTTCCGGACCGGCAGCGTCCTCCTCGCCAAAATACTCGACCATATCTTTCATGAGACTGTTCAAATCGGTCTCATCATCACCATTATCAACACTGGAATGCTCACTGTCTATACACTGATTTACCAAATTGTCAATCATGTCCTCATCGGATGTTTCACCTTCCTCACCATGGGCGCCTCGTCTTCCTGTGATACGGAAGCAATCGGTTCTTCTCGGCTCTTTCCGTCCTTTTCCCCCCTGCTGCTATATCAGTGAGATTCTCAACAAAATCAAATAGGCCAATAGTCTCTCTTGCCACGCTGTCACCAGCAATGCTACTTGGTCCCTTGACCCCTTCTGGCAGTGGCATTGCCATCTTGGCTGACCACAACCAGTAGCCGTATCGGTCAAAACTTCAAAAGCAGATCTAGAGTTTTTGAAGAGACCCACTAAAGAATTGTTGTTAGCAATCGGGTCCCATCTTGGATGTAGACACACTGAACGTAAAGAATCTTGATGACACGTCCTGGAACCGTAGAAGAAATTGATAAAACTTCTCTCTCCTGATTTACCTCTTGACCGATGAATTAACTCACATGAACTGATGAATCAGCGCATGCGCACATCTCACGTGATTCTGATTGTACGGAATAAAGAGGTGGAATCGGAATTTCTGTTCGGATTTGCAAAGTCAAGATTGGGCAAAGAAGTTTAATTTAAGCTTTAGGAACATCGATGATATTATATCGTTCAATAACAATCAAAAAGCCAATTCCCTTCCACTGGTTTACCCACCTGAACTAGAAATAAAGGAGACCGGTGTGACTGCTGTTTCATATCTAGATCTATGCATAAAGATTCAGAGTGACAAAACACTCTCCACAAGAATGTTTGACAAGAGGGATGACTTCAACTTTCGACTAGTCAACTTTCCATTAGTCAACTTTCCCTTCATGTTGAGCAATATTCCGGCAGCTCCAGTCTTTGGTGTTTACATTTAACAACTTTTGAGATACAATCGAGCATGCTCTTTCTACCAAGATTTCAAAGCACGTCATATGGCTCTTGCTCAGAAGTTGTTTGATCAAGGTTAAAACATTCAAGGCCTTAGTAAAGCTTTCAAAACGTTTTATGGTAGACATGCGGTAGTCATTCCCAAATTTGACGCATCAGTTAGAAAAATGATGTCCGGTGCAATTTCCCTATTTTGATTTGTACTGTATGTTCCCGTGTTTTTTCAGGTGAACAAAAACGTCAACAAAGCGGCCTGAAATGAATGATCAGCTGTTCTCACCTCCTCACTTTGAACGGATATCTAGTGGCAAACTGTACCATATAAGCAGTCGTGGTCATCCCTGATGTATCATTCAATCACGAAACATATATTTCCGGACAAGAGATAGATCATTGTTAAGGCAACAAGAGATAGGTCCTTACTGTTGCCAATTGAGGTGAAGATTTCACTGGTTAACTGTCTGTAGGTTTGATATAACATGTACCGCAAGTGTCGCGCATACCACGTGCGCCGTCAGTTTAAGGAATATTGCTGTGTGCGACGTGAAACAACAAAGTAAGAAGAAGAAATAGCGCCATTATCTTTTCCGAATAATAGCTAATAAAATAAAATCCGACATATGTTGTCAGTTTCAAGCATTCAGGTTGAACGTCTTTCCAGTGACTGAAGGGGCTAGAAAACGGTCCTCACCAAGTTTTACTCATCGAATATCTTCCGTTTAACAGGTTCCAGGATTGCAGTAAAATCAGAAGAAGTTAAATCTATCACACGCATGCCAGAGATAGATTCACGTCTTTCCATGATCCCCTTAAATATGTCCCCAACATGAAGCATGTGGCTGAGAGTGTAGACACGCCTTGTTATCTGGATCCGAAGAATGTGTTGCGGTTTCGGATTCTCTCTCTCATTGCTCCCACAGTCAATATTCGCATTGAAGGAACTTTCTGGACTTCCATTGCATGGAAGATCAACAACCTGTAAACCATTAATATCAGCATTTCCACGTGTTGTGGCGTATAAAGTGTTACTGTAAATGGTCATTCCGGGCTTCGACAGAATGGAAAATAATAGATGTTCTACAGCCCTTCCTTGGTGAGCAGGTAGCATGTATTGAAATCCCCTCAGAGATTTCACGCAATCCTCTAACTTCTTGAAGCTACGTGATGAGAAGTAGCCCTCATCTGCTTGCATCATCGCTGCCCTCTGATGTTGACTCATGGCCCCGGTACCTGAATCAGTTGCAAAATCAAAAGTCACGTGACCACCATCCAGTTTGAATGGATTCGAACCGCTATCTTCCAGTATTTGTATCCATTCTTCCCTTGTCAGGAACGTGAGGGGTTCCACCATCTTAATGCGGAATGGTTCCATGAATGACATCTGTAATTCAGAAACACATTGTTTTATCCGTACAGTGAACACCGTCATATGACGCCTTGAAAACAGATATATAACACATCATGATAAACATTTAAATGTCATGATCACGTGTGTGGGTGAATACTTTTATAACATGAAAAACGTGGAAAATGACACACAATGTGTTGGGCTCTCATTGTTTGTTTGCATTTAAGAACAGTCTTAAGTCTAAGTCTAAATAACAAGCAAAATCCTTCCCTGTATATTTACACTTCAGTAGCCTGTCCCAGTCCCTCTGTCACTTTACGTGACTGCAATAGAAGTCAGATTATCCTTACATCTGACTGCCCCGTGACTCTGTCTGTCACAATATCCCTACATCTGACTGCCCCGAGATTCTGTTAGTCACAATATCCCTACATCTGACTGCCCGACATTCTGTTTGTCACAATATCCCTACATCTGACTGCACCTGATATCAGTCTTCAATAGTTGCTTTTCAATCTAACAATGTGAATTAAGATTTTCACTGTTTACAAACCTCACCTCGTAAAACTGTTATCTAAGTGAGTGAGGTGACGTGGTGGAGGACAGGAAGTTGATTAATCCTATTTCCCTCTTGAAATGAAAGTGATAATATTGGTCACATTACAATGATAGTCACAAGGAGACAAGTACATACCTAGCCTGACATTATGTAAATTCTGTCTTGCGAAATCACGACCTTTAATTACAAATAGTGTGTCGATGACCGCCACAGAATCGTTGAGTTCAAGCTGGTACCCATGCACGCATTGATGGAAGAACTCAAAGTATCACGACCTTTAATTAAAACTATTGTGTTAATGACCGTCAAGTATGGTGTGTAAAACAACGTTTTATGTTGATACACATGCATGTACTGAAGGAAGAACGCAAGGTAAATAACTCCAGCATCAACTAGAGGGACCAGATTGTTGTGAGTGTCCCCACGTAACATTGGGTCTTAGGTGATCGTGTGGTGCCCCGTGTATAACATTGTGTCACAGATGGCTGTGAGTGTCTATGTATAACATTGTGTCACACATGGTTGTAAGTGTCCCCGTGTAACATTGTGTTACAGATGGTTGTGAGTGTCCCAGTGTAACATTGTGTCACAGATGGCTGTGAGTGTCCCCGTGTAACATTGTGTCACAGATGGTTGAAATTGTCCCCGTGTAACATTGTGTCACAGATGTTTGTAAGTGTCCCTGTGTAACATTGTCACACAGATGGTTGTGAGTGTCACCGTGTAAAATTGCATTCAGATGGCTGTGAGTGTCCCCGTGTAATATTGAATTCAGATGGCTGTGAGTGTCCCCGTGTAACATTGCATTCAGATGGCTGTGAGTGTTCCAATGTAATATTATATCACAGATGGTTGATAGCGTCCATGTATAACATTGTATCACAGATGGTTTTGAGGGTCCACGTGAAACATTGTGTCACAGATGGTCATGAGTTTTATCATGTAACATTGTGTAACAGATGGTTATGATTGTCACCGTTAAAATTGTGTAACAGATGGTTATGATTGTCACCATGTAACAATGTGTCACATATGATTGTGAGAGTTTCCGTTTTGAATTGTATTATATACAGTAATAGGTGTCCAAATGCAACATATATTACAGATATTTGTTCTCGCATAACATGTGTTCCAGTTAGTTGAGTGTGTAGCATTATGTTGAAATCACTGATTGTCAACCGGACGGCCACAGCGTTAAGGTGAGATTTCCAAAATTGAAGCGTAAAGGTTCACCCAGTAAATTCGTTCATGCAGAACACAAACTAGTTAGACACCCTCAAGTAATAGACCCACGTGTTAGACACCCACAAGTCGGACACCCATTTCTTGGACACTCATCTGTCTGACACCAATTATTAAGACACCCATCAATCAGACAACCACTAGTTAGACACCCTCTAGTCAGATACCCACTAGTTACACACCCATCAGGTAGACACATACTACTTAGAAACCAACTAGGCGACACCCACTAGATAGACAACCATAAGTCAGACAACCACTAGTTAGACACCCACTATTTAGACACTCATTCGTCAGACACCCAATAGTTAGACACCCATCAGCAAGACACCAACTGGTAAATCACCCGTCAGTCAGACTCCCACTAGTTAGACACTCATTCGTCAGACACCCACTTGTTAGACACAAATAAATCAGACACCAAGTAGTTAGACACCCATCAGTCATACACCCACTTGTTAGACACCCATCAGTGAGACACTTACTAGTTAGACACCCACCAGTTAGACACCCATCAGTCAGACACCCACTAGTTAGACACTCACAAGTCAGACACTCACTAGTTTGACACCCATAAGTCAGACAACCACTTGTTAGACACCCATCACTGAGACACTTACTAGTTAGACACCCACAAGTTAGACACCCGCCAGTCAGACACCCACTATTTAGACACCAATCAGTCTGACATCCACTAGTTAGTCAGCCATCAGTAAGACACCCACATGTTAGACACCCACTAGTTAGTGAACCAACAGTCAGACAGCCACTACTCAGACACCCAGTAGTCAGACAGCCACTTGTTAGACACCCATCAGTCAGACACCCACATGTTAGACACCCATCAGTAAGACACTTACTAGTTAGACACCCGCCAGTCAGACACCCACTAGTTAGACACCCACTACTCAGACACCCAGTAGTCAGACACCCACTAGTTAGACACTCACTAGTCAGACACCCACTACTTAGACATCCATTACTCAGGCACCCACTTCTTAGAAACCCATCAGTGAGACACCCATTACTTAGACCCCCATCAGTCAGACACCCACTAGTTAGAAACCCATCAGTCAGACATCCACTAGTTAGACACTCATCAGTCAGACACCCACTAGTCAGACAGCCACTTGTTAGACACCCATCAGTGAAACACCAACTTGCTGGACACCCATCAGTCAGACACTAAAATGATGGACACACATCAGTCAGACACGCATTAGTTAGACACCCACTCGTTAGACACCCATCAGTCTGACATCCTATAGTTAGTCAGCCATCAGTCAGACACCCACAAGTTAGTCAGCCATCAGTCAGACACACAATGATGATACACCCATCAGTCTGACATCCACTAGTTTGACACCCATCAGTCAGACAATCACTAGTTAGACGACCACTACTTGGACATCCATTACTCAGACAACCACTTCTTAGAAACCCATCAGTGAGACACTCACTAGTTAGACACCCATCAGTCAGACACCCACTAGTTAGAAACCCATCAGTCAGACATCCACTAGTTAGACATCCATCAGTCAGACACCCACTTTTCAGACACCCACTAGTCAGAATGACACCCATCAGTCAGACACTAAAATGATGGACACCCATCAGTTAGACATGCATCAGTTAGACACCCACTCGTTAGTCACCAATCAGTCTGACATCCACTAGTTATTCACCCATCAGTCAGACACCCACAAGTCAGACATCCACTACTTAGACACCAATCAGTGAGACACCCACTAGTTAGCCAACCATCAGTCAGACACCCACTACTCAGACACCCAGTAGTCAGACACACACTAATTAGTCACCCATCAGTCAGACACCTTCAAGTCAGACATCCACTACTCAGACACCCAGTAGTCAGACACCCACTAGTTAGACACTCACCAGTCAGACACCCACTAGTTTGACACCCATCAGTCAGACAATCACTAGTTAGACACCCACTACTTAGACATCCATTACTCAGGCACCCACTTCTTAGAAACCCATCAGTGAGACAATCACTACTTAAACATCCATCAGTTAGACACCCACTACTTAGGCCCCCATCAGTCAGACACCCACTAGTTAGACACCCATCAGTCAGACACCCACTAGTCAGACAGCCACTTGTTGGACACCCATCAGTGAAACACCAACTTGCTGGACACCCATCAGTCAGACACTAAAATGATGGACACACATCAGTCAGACACGCATTAGTTAGACACCCACTCGTTAGACACCCATCAGTCTGACATCCTATAGTTAGTCAGCCATCAGTCAGACACCCACAAGTTAGTCAGCCATCAGTCAGACACACAATAATGAGACACCCATCAGTCTGACATTCACTAGTTTGACACCCATCAGTCAGACAATCGCTAGTTAGACGACCACTACTTGGACATCCATTACTCAGACAACCACTTCTTAGAAACCCATCAGTGAGACATCCACTAGTTAGACACCCATCAGTCAGACACGCACAAGTCAGACATCCACTACTTAGACACCAATCAGTGAGACACCCACTAGTAAGACACCCATCAGTCAGACACTAAAATGATGGACACCCATCAGTTAGACATGCATCAGTTAGACACCCACTCGTTAGACACCCATCAGTCTGACATCCACTAGTTATTCACCCATCAGTCAGACACCCACACGTCAGACATCCACTACTTAGACACCAATCAGTGAGACACCCACTAGTTAGACAACCATCAGTCAGACACCAACTACTCAGACACCCAGTAGTCAGACACACACTAATTAGTCACCCATCAGTCAGACACCTACAAGTCAGACATCCACTACTTAGACACCAATCAGTGAGACACCCACTAGTTAGACAACCATCAGTCAGACACCCACTACTCAGACACCCAGTAGTCAGACAGCCACTTGTTAGACACCAATCAGTCAGACACACACTAGCTAGTCACCCATCAGTCAGACACACACTATTTAGAAACCCATCAGTCAGACACCCATCAGTGAGACACCCACTACTCAGACACCTATCAGTCAGACACACACTAGTTAGACACTTACTAGTCAGACAACCACTGGTTAGACACC